AAAATTTTAGGGTTAGTGCGGGTCAGAATTATGTTGATGCCGGCCAGGGTTTTTTTAATATAAAAATCCGGCCGGCATTAAAATAAACCTGGCCTGCACTAACCCTAAATTCTAGGAGGGGGTCATTTTGATCCGGGTCAAAATAGAATTTCCCTAAACAGTAAATTGAAAATTTAGTAATAAATTAATACTTGAAATCAAGTTATAATAATAAAGTTTTGAGCTATTCGCGTAACATGTCCATACTTTGTAGAGGCTTGCACGGGCCGGGCCAGGCCGAAATTAGGAATTTTAAAAACTTCACAAAATTTAGGGTATTTCATCAATTTACCGCGTTGATTAATTATATTCTTCGTATATGTTTGAAGTTTTCTCATATCAATTCCTCTCACCGAAAAAAATTTGCCCAGAACCAATAACGATAAGAGATCACGAGACGTATTCCTCAAATAATATTGTATGAAGAGTAGCATAAAGAGAACAGCATTGTGACATATTGGGCTACAAATGGAAATATAAAATGGGATTCGATTACACCACCAAATGAGTTAAATTTTGATTTCCAAAACCTTGTTTTTTGGCATGTACCTATGTTACAAATATTTCAATCTACATGTAAAATATTTTATTTATACACACACCTAATTTTAAGAATAATTTTAATAAATAAACAAAAAAATTTTGATTTTGTTGTGGTCTCGTAAAAAATCACCGGTTAGCAGATTTCTGCTTTATTCAACAACATCCGCAACATACGAACCAAGTCTATGATCAGAGCACATCCTACAGTCCACCACAACTAATATTTTGCTTCGCATTATGATTAAGCCTCTACTTTTAAAGAGTAATCAACGAAAATTATTAGTTGAACTAATAAACTGTATATGATACCAAATTTCCAATTTTGAAAAAGGATGGCTACATAGAATTACGATGATTAAGGGAAAAAAAATAAATATTTAAATAGGAAAAAACAAAATAAAACTAATACTAGATACACTCAAAGATTTAAATATTCTTTAAATATTCGATATATACCTCTTAATTATCTCAAATTATCATCATTATCAACCCACTCACCGGTTTTAGTAACGCTTTCTAAAACCAACAATGCTCTTCTCATCCCTTCTGAAGTAACTCTTGTACGTCTTGCCAGCGCTAGTCGCTTTAACGTTCCAATCCTTTTTGCATACTGTGTAATTATACACAGATATTCATCATCAATACAATTACTTCTAGGAAATTGTAATAACTCTAAAGGCGCTTTGCAATTTCCCAATAGCCAATGTAGTACCATTAACCAAAATGTTCCTTCAATAACGATCATTAGATTTTTTAATTTTAAGGGTAACCTGAGTGCCATGTCTTTCCAAAATACTTCATCATCCATTAATTCGGTTCCAATCGATATATGCATTTGTTCTATATGTGTGCACGTATCAAGAACCGATTGAAAATATGGTAGAGTTTCTCTGCTTACGTGTGTCTCAATTACTACCAATTTGGGACAATACATTGAAATCGTCGAAAGAACCGTTGGTGGTGGAAAATCTCCTACACCTCTTGCAACTATTCCTAATGGTCGTCTAACATTCCAAACTTTTTTTCCTAATCGAATATCTTGTAAATTTCCATCAGTATTTTGAATCATCATTGCAAGTGGATGATTAATTGTTGTTCGTCTTGGTTGTATTGGTGAAATTGCAGGTAGTAGTGGGACTTGCGCTGGCAATGGTACCACAGGAAAAGGTACATTAGGTGGTGGGATATTTTGACCCGCAGGTGCCAAAATTGTACGTAAATCTCGAAAACCAATACTTTTCCTGAACACAAATTTCTTTAGTCGACTAAATGTCGCTGTTGATAAAGGTTCTACGATATCATCTGATAATCCCAGGCACCGATCAAATATTAACGTTTCAAGATTAACACAATATGATAAAGCATCAAGCGAAACTGAAATTCGAAAATCTGCTCCGTTAAATTCTAAATAATTTAAAGAATTTGCTTGACATCTCAAGCCCTCTATTAACACAGGAAGACAATTTGATCCACCACGTCGAAGAACCACACGTTTCAAAGAATGTTGAGCCTGCAAAAGACTTAACATCATCATCGGATCTACATGTTTCCTTTGCCATGAAGAAAAGCTTATTTCAATAGTATCAAGATTCTTGCAAATCATTGATAGAGCTTCCATAATTTTTCCATCTGTAGCATCTCCACCATACTCAAACTTTTGCAAGTAAGGCAAACAAGTGCTTGCACCAAAATAAGATGGTAATTTTAAAAGGTCATCG